CCTGATACGTAAAACCATAGAACTCAAAGAGGGAGTACTTTCTTTTTCACACGACTGTACATCTTCAATAATTTACCTAACACTCCCTCTACTTTTCTTATATTCCTGTACCTTCTCACTATTCTGCCAGGCAAATCTTGGCTAAACATCCCTAAAAACAAATTATACTGGCTAAAAACTATCTCTAACTGGGGGAGCTATCTTTAAAAGAAAAACTATTAGAATTGTTGTTCAGACTCTATACATGATCATACTATGGAAGAAAAGTAAACAGCAAAAAGGATGAAATTTCTGAACAGTTTGCCTTGAATCATTGTATAGTGAGCATTTATATCAAATTTGACAAATTTATGTATATATTCTTATATATATTTAGATACAAAGATGTACAGTTCAGATTGGTCTTTCTCAATTAATAAAATTTTGCAACTCTAATACATGTCTAAGCAGATTTTTGTACTAGCAACACTAAACCAGTTGAGATATTATAGAATTATTACTGTATATCTTCTTGGGTATGAAATATAGCATTCTAGTTTGAGACAAAGGGACAATGAGGGGGCCAAAATCAATGCTCAAAATGTACTATACATGTAACCTTAAGATAAAAATAGCTGCAGTAGGTAAACATATAATACTTGCTAAATGGAAAGGTCCTGCTAATTTATGAATAGCAGCAAGACAAAGTGACAAATACAGCTTCTAAAGTCAAGTATGCCAATCATTTTCAACCCCCAAGTTTCCATTTACACTGTATTCTGAACCAGCAAGCTAATTTATGAATAGCAGCAAGACATCACGACAAATACATCTCAAACTCTTTTTTAAAACCCACATAATACAATTTCTAAAATCAAGTACGCCAATCACCTCCAACCCCTATTGTTTTTCAACTGAAACAGCCTTCATAGGCATCAGTTTATTCATAAGATAGCCCTAGTACAGCTCATGGGAATTCAATAATTTTAAAACAGTATTATGTACTGAACAGGTAGAAAAAAATAATCCTGCACATATATTTGTCAAGATGAATGCAAGCTTTTATAAAATGACCTTCCATCAAAAAAAAAAAAAATCATGGGAAGAATACTTCTTTTATGTAATAACATGGCAGAGACAATGTGTCTCTCTCAACTTTTTTAGACAATTATACATGTAGGAACCAAGCCTCGTCTCCATCACTAACAAAACAAAAACAGTTTTAATTTCAGTGCCACAAGGAAGCTGGTTGCAGTAACACAAGGCAGTCACAAAGCAAAGTAATTCCAGAGGTTCAGCTCTATATAGCAGCAGAATAAGTAGAGTAAGCAGCAATATTTCGGCTTTATTCAAAACAGTGAGATTACTGAACAGATATAAATATGAAGACATCATGTCTTGCAAAATGTTACTCTCCAAGAAAACAACCACTTTCCTTTCTGCAGTACAGAAGCTACAAAATCATTAAGTCTCTTTTGTTTTCTCCTAAATAGGCTACTGTAAGAATTTAATTACATTATTTCCCCCAGCAAATGGGGGAAATTACTGAGTTTTGTTATCCTATCCTGTATCTTCAGCATGCATCTTGTAATATATCAGAATGGCTTTTATTATGCTTTTAATAGCTTCTACCTTTAATTGCTCTAAACCCTTTACTGGCATAAAAAAGGACAATCCTTCACATATGGAAGACCCCGCCTTCTGCCAATGTCCCTGCAACACTTCATTCAAGAGTAGGCAACAGGTTCTAGCCAGTGTGTTAGTAAGTCATTCTGCCAAGTATGGCTGACATTTAGTCCACAAGTCCCTACAGCCCAAAACCTAGAGGCAATATAAACAACCACAAAGGTGAAACCTGTTGCGTGTGTCAGAGAACACAAAAGAAGTTTCAAAGGAAGGAACCTGCGCACCTGAGGTGCTAACATTAAAAAAAAAAAGTATCCCTCGACAGAAGTGCCAGAATCCATACTCCCCTATACTTAACAAAAGCAGTATTTCTTTCACTTCGGCAACACAGGACCCTCCCCCCACCCCCCACCCCTGACGTGGAGACAACTGAACGAAAGTCCGATGTCTGGAAACCGAACAAAATCTGGCACGATTGTCCTTTTTTCCTACTACTGGACGCTTTACTCCCGGGGGAAAACGAATGCTTCGAAAGTGAGAAATACTCACTCAATGAAATAGCTGGCTCCCTCTTCCGAGAATCCCTCCTCCCAGCCACGGGGCAGATCTAAAAGAAAAAGAAAAAAGAAAGACGGGGTGGGGAGGGAGCAGGGAAAGAAAGTGGCCCAGAGGAGGGAAGTGAGATGTTTGTGCCCTGGAGACAGACGAGCGTAATTCCCAGCCACACAAAGGTCGTTATCCTCCCCCGCACTCCTTCCCCAGAGAGAAAGGCAAACACAAACACCCAGCGCGGGGCGCGCGAGGGGGAGAAACGCGCGGGGGCCCGAGGAGTCCTTTCTCCGGGAGGACGGGGTAGGGCACCCACCTGAGCGGATCATGTGGCCTGAGTTGACGGGCTCCCCGGTGCGAGGATGCAGCCAAGTAGTTGCGCGGGTCAGGTCGCTAAGAGGAGAAGCGGCAAACATGCACCTGTTAGTCCAGCCCGCGGAAGGAGAAGTCGATAGGGAGGGAAAGGGAAGCGCGGGGAAAGGGAAAGGGACGAGCTGAGCGGCAACCCCGCCCCCCCGCTGCCTGCCTGCTTTTCCCGCCCGGTGTCTTACTCGATGAAGAAGACCCGGCCGTCCCTGCAGACGCCATAGGACCAGTGTTCAGGTAGAGTGTCCCGCCC